TAGTGATGCTTCCTAAGGCCCACTTGACTTCACATTCCAGGATGTCTGGCTCTAGGTGAGTGATCACACCATCGTGATTGTCTGGGTCGCTGGCAACCACTAAAACTCTGAAGTGGTTGTCTTTTCTCTTGTCCAGTTCGCCCATGATGAACATGGGAGCAAGGTTGGTTTTCTCTGTAGCACAGAGTGAGAAGTGGCCACTTCATTGAGGATGCAGATCTTGGAAAGTTTTACTCCTCAAGAAGGGTATCAGGGCAATTCTGCCTTCTAGAGCTTCATTTCCCTGAGTGGTGGCCCTGATCCAAGCAGGCTCATTTGCTTTGCTGGGCTCTCTCTCCACAGTTCCTTTATTCATCCCACGGAGGAGGTTTTATCCCATTCCACAGAGGGCTAAGGGTAAGTGATAAATTAGCTCTGGATGTGTGCAATTTGAGGTGACCTCTAATGGAGATGTTGAAATTTGTGGCTTGCTATTTGGTTGGAAATCACGGCCAAGGGCTGGCAATAAAAACTTCATGAATCATCACTTGTGGAAAATGGCATTATCCTTGAAGCTACTTTGTCACCCTTTCACATCCAATTCATCACCAAGTCCTATTGATTTCACTTCTACATTTCTCTGCAGACTGCCCAGTTCTCTTCAGCTTCACACTGTTCTAGCCTAAACTCTAGCTTCATCTTCTCTTGTCCAGACAACTGCATTGACTTCCCAACTGGCCCTACCACAGCTTCCAAGAGCCTTCTCCATTTTGATCTTAATATCAGCAGCCAAAGTAATTTCTACAAAATATAAATCCAATCAGTTTTCGCCTGTCCCGAATTCTACTATGGCTTCCAATATCTTACACGGTCTTACCTCTTCTAGTCTCTAGTGGCTTTCACTCTACTTCTTTACTCTGTAAACTCTGAGTTTTTTTTTCCCTTTTTGGTGGCAAAATATACATAACATAAAACTTACCATTATCACCATTTTTAAATATACAGTTCTGTGATATATAGTACATTACATTGTTGTGCAAACATCACCACTATCCATTTCCAGAACTTTTTCATTTTCCCCAAATGTGCCTATTAAACAACTCCCCACCCACCTCCCCTCACCACTCCCCAACCCAGGGTTGGTTTTCATCTTTCAAGGAGCCCTGCCATAGTCCACACAGAGTTCTTTATACATTTCTCTGCCTGAAGCACTCTTCCACCCTTTGCCTAGTTAGCTACTACTCATCCAGTGTCAAGGATGCCTCCTTGAACCACCAAATCCAGGCCAGAAGCTCCAGTAAATACTTTCAAAACCAGTGCTCCTCTCTGAAGTACTCTCAGTTTGTACTTAAACATGTGTTGTATATTGCAGTATGGGTTCTTCACACTTCTCTCCTCTCTTAATATAGGTTTTAGTGTCAGGAGTTACTCGTTTTGTCCGCAGTGACTGGCATAGTGCCTGGTTCGCAGCAGGTGCTTACAATTTGTTAAATGAATAAAAGGATGAACAGTCGTTCCTCATCTCCTTTCAGCTGATCACCAGTCTATGAGTACGTCCGCCCCCCAGACTGTAGTGTGTCCCTTGGGGCTGGACTTTGGCACCTCATCCAGGCTGGCAGCAGGCTGTGATCTTTGGTTTGCCTATCTCGGGCCTCTCGCCCAGCAAATAGCTGAACCCACGCCCCGGGCGTGTCGCGCCGTCACGCGGAACCTCCCTACTTCCACACATCAGAACCCGGCAGAAACTAAGCTTAAACTGCGAAGCCTCTTCGCACCTCCGGACGTGGGAATTACATACTTGGACCTCAGACTCACGCGGGTGAGAACCGGGAGACGCGAGGAAAGTTGGAAGGCGCGCCCCAGCGATACCCAATCTATATTTGGGTCGAAGCCCTTTAAGTAGTACTTCATTCAAGACTCCTCCGGGACCCGGCAGTGGAGGCGCGCCAGGATTGGTCGGTTTGGGTGTGGGTGTTGCTCGGCACCAGCGAATCAGCGGGGGCAGGGGGATGTTGTGGTTCAAGACTCGCGCATGCGCAGGGTTGTCTGCCTGTGCCTGGGCTGCCTGTGACCCGGGCCAGGTCTGCCGGGTGGGCTGATTGCGGAGGAGGCGGAGGGTGGCGCGGCGGGAGGGCGCCGACTCCCGGAGGCCGCTGTCGGGGCGAGGTGAGGGCTGGCGGGCTGAGGCGGGCGCTGCGGTCCGTTAGCCGAGAGCAGGCGGGGTCGGGTGTGGCGCAGGGCGGGCCTGGAAGCGGAGCCCCCCTACCCCGGCCCGTCCGGCCCTCTGGCCCGGTTTAGCTCTCCAGGGCTTCTTGGGGCTTCCCGAAGTCTCAGCTCCCCTTTCTGCCGCCAGCTGCTCTCCTGACTCCGGGACGACCCAAGGTGCGAGCCTGCGGGAACCCTCAGTTGCCAGATGCCGGTGGAGCGCTGCCCACAGTGGGAGGAGACGGGGTGTGTCCGAACGATGGGATGATTGTTTACTTAATTATCCACGAACCTCACGTCAGAGTATTTTAATAACAAACAAACTTCCCTTAGCGTGCCCATCTGGTAAGACTTGGTTTACCAGATACTGGGTTTAGTAGACCAGCTTTTGTGAACATCAGATGTCGGAGGTGATGAGCATATGTGCCGGATATAGGATTACGTCTAGATTCCAGTGTCAGAAGGATTAAGCACTCCGGTGCTTAATTAGGTTTGTGGACATCAAAGCCACCAAAGAATATTCCCAGTGGTGAAAAGTAATTGGTGAAATTTGTGACACGGTCAGAAAAGAAATAAAATTCAGACGGTGGATAGGGTCAATTTTCATTAAATTTACAAAGAAAAGAATTGATTCTGATAGAGATAATTTTAGTAAAATGAAAATGTAAATAATTGAATACTTCTTTATTGCTAAATAGAATTAAATTGACATAATGGTTTGCCCTGGAAAACACATTTTAGGCAATGTTGTTATAGCTCCAAGAGTTTGTGTTTACAACACAAAGAACATCTTGGGGTCCCAAAGCTTTTTATCCTTATAAAAGAGCCTCAGAGATCAAAAGCATCCAAAGATAACTGCTGATGAGAGAGAAAAAGTGACTTATCCAAAGGAATACAATGAGTGAGGAGCAGTTGTAACTAGTGTAACCCTAGGTCTTGGCTCCTTCTATTAACAGATCTCTGATTCGTTTTAATATGAGTGCTCCAGGGGAAGGAAATGTTTTGGCAAGATAGAGTTGCTGTAATCCCAAAGATTGGATTTAGAGACACAGAGTGTACTGGAAAGATCACAGGCTTTCCAGTATTTCTGAGTAAGGAAGTTTGGGATGGAATACTAGCTCCACCACTTGAGCTTTACAACTACCATTTCCCCATCTGTCCAGTGTAGATTATGCCTGCCTCATAGACAGTTATGAGCATTAAACATCATCAGTGTAAAAAGTCATAGCATAGTGCCTGATATATAATATTGTGTGTGTGTGTGTGTGCACGCGTGCGTGCTCAGCCATGTCCAACTCTTTGAGACCCCATGGACTGTAGCCCGCCAGGCTCCCTGTCCATTAGATTTCTCAGGTAAGAATACTGGAATAGGTTGCTATTTTCTTCTCCAGGGGATCTTCCCGACCCGGGGATCGAACAGCAGATGTCTCCTGTGTTTCCTGTATTGGCAGGTGGATTCTTTACCACTGAGCCATCTGGGAAACCTGGCATATAATATTAGTTGGTATCAAATTCCATCCCCTACTCTTCTTAGCTCCTAAGGAATGGCAAGCTTGACCTGTACCCTCCTCCCTACCTCATCCCCAAGCAATGCAGAACCAAAGCACTTTGTTGAACTACAAATGAGGTGCGCCCAGTTCTTAAGTCGTGTGGCTGAAGGTGAATTCAGTAAGGGAAACGTAATTTTCTCTATTTTGTCCTATGTATTGTGGTTTTGAGATGTAAACAATGCCTTATGGTGAACCCTTGTGTTTGGATATATGTGTGCCGAGTCAAACTTGTTTTGCTTATTTGAATTTCTGTTTGGTAAGGCCTGGTTGTTTAGTGCTGTTTGTCTTTCCCCCTTTCCCTCTTTGGAAAGAGGAGGGGAAGTGTATGTGGTAGAGATTTGGGAGAGGCTTAAGGATACAGAGATGAAAGGAAACCTATGGGAACCAGGCTGCCCTCCAGCCAAGCACAGCCTTTTGCCAGTAGATTAGGGAAAATTGATGACATGATCAGTTTATAAATAGATGCTGAGAAAAGGATTTAGGAAATGGCAGAGGCAGATTAAAATATAATTTTTATAAAATCTAATAGTAACTAGGGTGCTATATTTGATTACTACTTCAGTGTCTTTTAAAAATTTTCATTTATGTAAGCCTCTTTCTCCATTCCAAGTGGAGATTTATTGTAGGAAAGCTTTTTAATTAGTTTTAAAACTTAGTTTTTAAATAAGCTTTATTAGTTTAAAAGTTATATTGAGAGCTTCCTGATATGTGCCAGGCATGGTGCTAGGTTATAGGGTCCTCTGGCCTGTAGAAGGAGCTAATAAGACAGATTTGTGTGTCTGTGTGAGCACTCTTCAGCTGCCTTTGTCCTTGTATAACTTTTTCTGTAACTGAGGCATGATTTTCCAGATTCATGCCACTGCTTTCCTTTTATAAACGGAATACTGGTTATCTGCAAGCAGCTTTTATTTTAATGAATTCAGAAATTATAGTACCTTCCAGTTTGGAAATGCTATTTAGTTGCAGAGCTGCTCGCTATAAAACATGCCCTTCAATATTCATGCATAAATCATCAGAATTATAGTTAATTAGCATAAAAGAATATTGTTCTACTAGTAGAGATATTTTAAAATGACATTTAAACATAAAAAACAAGTATGAGCTGAATTTAAGTGATATAAAAACTTTAAGTTAATACTTTTTTCCATTTTTATGTTACAGTAATTATACTGACTGATTCAACGGACATGAACTTGGGCAAACTCCGGGAGACAGTGAAGGACAGGGAAGCCTGACTGCAGTCCGTGGGGTCACAAGGAGTCTAACACAGTTGAGCAACTGAACAACAACAGCAGTTATACTGACAGGAGTTTGTGAGATAGTACAGAGTATTGCTGATAGATTGTATGATAATCACATGTTTAGTTAAAAAAAAAAAACCTGCCAAACTTATATTCCATGCCAAACTTATTTTCCAGAGTGACTGTACCATGTTGCAGTCCTCCCAGCAGTGTGTAGGAGATCCCATTCCTGTGACTGTTTGCCAGCATTTGATATTGTCACTTAAAATTTTATCTGTTCTAATCAGTATGTAATATTATCTCATTGTGATCTTAAGTTGCATTTCCCTTAATAGCTATTAAGAGATGCTAGATATCTTTTCACGTTCTTTTTTGTCATCTCTATATCCTCTTTGGTGAAATGTCTGTTCATGTGCTTTGTCCATTTTCTAACGGGATCTTTTGTTTTATCACTGTTGAGTTTTGAGAGTGCTTTAAAAATTCTAAATATCTAGAGTCCTTTAGGAGGTATGTGGTTTAAAAATATTTTCCCCACTCTCTTGCTTTTCTTTTCATCCTCTCCACATGGATTTTGGCAGCGCAAAAGTTTTAAACTTTGATGAAATCCAATTTATAGGAGTTTCTTTTATGGATTGTGCTGTTGGTCTCATACATAAGAACCCTTCTTCAAGTCCTGAACATTTTCTCTTTGTTTTCTTCTGCTTTTATACTTTTACTTTTTACACTTAAACATATGATCTATTTTGATCTCCTTTTCATGTAAGGTGTGAGAGTAGGTCAAGATTCTCTTTTTTTCTTTTCCTTCCTTCTGCTTATACCTCCCTTCCTCTCTCTTTCTTTCCCTATAGATATTCATTGCTCCAACACTATTTGTTGAAAAGTCTATCCTTCCTCCATTTAATTGCTTTTGTACCATTGTCAAAAATCATTTAACTGTTCTTGCTTAGGTCTAATTTCTGGGTTCTATATTCTGTTTCACTGATCTGTGTGTCTATGCCTCTGATAATCTGTGTGTCTGTCCCTCTGCTAATAACACACAGTCTTCATTACTATAGCTATACAACAAGTCTTGAAATAGGATAGTGAGGTATGGTCCCTTTTATTCTTTTTCAAAATTGTTTTAGCTATTTTAGCATCTTTGCCTTTCCATATAAATTTTAGAATATTCTTATTTATATCTATCAACTATCTTGCTGATATTTTTACAGAAATTATATTGAACCTGTATATCACTTTGGGGGGAGATCTTTACTACATTGTCTTCCAGTTCATAACATGCTATATCTCCTCACTTACTTAGGACTTCTTTGATTTCTTTCAGCAGTGTTTTGTAGTTTTCAGCATACATGTCCCAACATGTTTTGTTAGATTTACACCTAAGTATTGCATTAAAAATGGGGTTCCCTGGTGGGTCAGATGGTAAAGAATCTGCCTGCAGTGCAGGAAACCTGGGTTCTATCCCTGGGTCAGGAAGATTCCCTGCAGAAGAGAATGGCAACCCACTGCAGTATTCTTGCCTGGGAAATCCCATGGATAGTGGAGCCTGCTGGGCTACAGTCCATGGGATCACAAACAGTCGGACACATCTGAGCAACTAACATTGTATTAAAAAAAGTATAGTTTTATTGAGATCATTTTGGGGATGATGATAAAGTATTTTAAATTTTTGTTTCTATGCATCCATTGCTGGTATATAGAAAAAGAATTGATTTTTGTATGTTGATCTTATATTCTGAAACCTTGTTGAACTCCTCCTTCATTTGAGGAGGTTTTTTGTTTTGTTTTTTTTTTTTGTAGGTTCTTGGGGATCTTCCATGTAGACAATTATATCGTCTGCAGATAGGAGTCATTTTATTTCTTGCTTATTTCTTCCTTTCCTAGTTCCTTAGACTTTTTACATTTTTACCCCTCAATGGAAAGTCTGGGGAGATCAGAGAAATGGGCTATGTATGGTCTGTTGCCTGGTAGACTAATTTTTATTTTGTAGTTGTTGTTTAGTTGGTAAGTCATGTCTGACTCTTTTGTGTCCCCGTGGACTATAACCCACCAGACTCCTCTGTCCATGGGATTTCCCAGACAAGAATACTCCTGGAGTGGGTTGCCATTCACTTCTCCAAGGGGTTTTCCTGACCTGGGGATTGAACCCGTGTCTCCTGCATTGCGGCAATGGCACCCCACTCCAGCACTCTTGTCTGGAAAATCCCATGGACGGAGGAGCCTGGTGGGCTGCAGTCCATGGGGTCACTATGAGTCGGACATGACTGAGTGACTTCACTTTCCATTTTCAGTTTCCTGCATTGGAGAAGGAAATGGCAACCCACTCCAGTGTTCTTGCCTGGAGAATCCCAGGGATAGGGAAGCCTGGTGCACAGAGTTGGACACGACTGATGCGACTTAGCAGCAGCAGCAGCTCCTGCATTGCAGGCATATTCTTTACCATCTTAGCCACTGGCGAAGCCTTCAGCCTTCTCTTATTTTTATACTACTGCAGTTTTTTCATGTTTAAACTGGGGTTAATTATCCATTCATCCATTACAGATATGGTCTTTATTCTAAGAACTTACCCTTAGGTAGTAGACATAGAAAACAAAGAGGTAGTTTCTGGGAATTTAGAGAGATAAAAGTACTTCTAGGAGGGTGTATTGGAGACAGTCCTTGGTGGGGATTTGGATGTGGGGAGATCTGAGTGTGAACTCAGGTGAAGAATGCACGGAGACACAGAGGTGAAAAGAGTAGTGTGTCTCCTGGGGCCCCGTTTCCTACTGCTCATGGGAATTGAGGTGCCAAGTTACATCCCTAGTGTTCTTTGGAAGAAAAGCCCACCAGTGCACACACCTGCTAACATCCTATGCAGGTAGAGGACCTGACAACAGGGTCTGTGAACAGGATGTGTGGACACATGGAAAGATACAGTAAAGCTGCCAGAGCCACCTCCCTCTTCCCTTGTTGCAGGGCTGCCGCGGGCAGGTGTGCGGGTGACGCCCCATGCGAGCACACACAGAGGTGCGGCTGGGGGCTGGGACCCCCCAGCTCTGCCTGCCGAACTGGTCCAGGGCTGTTTCCACCCTGAGAAGCACCTTGTCCCAGTTTGCCACAGGCACCGTGAGGCCTCCAAATCTGTCTCCTAGTGTTTCTTAATGGTGCTCACATCATCATGGCTAAATATTTTAGTATCTTACCGTAATATCCTTTGCTAAAGGACTTACTTTAGCCATCTGGAGGAACTCAGTCATCATTCTGAAGACTGGCCCAGTGTCAAAGGTGCCAAAATTCAGGAGGACATGCTATCCTCTCTGTTTTCTTTTTGCCTTCTGCCTTCCTTGCCACCAGCTTGAGGTTAAATGCTCAGAATCCCTTCCCGTGAGGCGAGGATATGGCAAGTGACCCGCTCCGCACTCACCTCCCTGGAGGGCCTGAAACGCACAGCTCCCTGGACCCCAGCCCTCTGCATCAGTGTCAGGCTCATCCTGTCCCCTCGGGGCCATCTTGTGACCTGTGTCCTGTTCCTCACTGGTCACTGCCATGGCTCCCTTTTGGCCTGCTTCCTCACATCTCCGTTCCCTCATCCCAGTCAGTTTAAACTCTGGAAATGGAGACATTCATTCAGTTCAATTCAGTCGCTCAGTAGTGTCCGACTCTTTGCGACCCCATGAATTGCAGCACGCCAGGCCTCCCTGTCCATCACCAACTCCCGGAGTTTACTCAGACTCATGCCCATCGAGTCGGTGATGCCATCCAGCCATCTCATCCTCTGTCGTCCCCTTCTCCTCCTGCCCCCAACCCCTCCCAGCATCAGGGTCTTTTCCAATGAGTCAACTCTTCGCATGAAGTGGCCAAAGGATTGGAGTTTCAGCTTCAGCAGACATTCATTAGAGAGAAGGAAAGGGAGGATTTCAAGTGAAGATGAGACAGGGAGGCTAATGGAGGGAGCATAGTTGGGAATGATCTAGCAACAGGGGGCAGGGAGGTGATAATAAGAGCCACATGTGCATTTGTGGTAGAGGTGAGAGCGAGACCACCCAGAGTGAACTCAAGGGCGGGCTGCTGGCGGCTCATCGCCAGGCCGTCTGTAACAAGGTGACCTTCCCTCCTCAGGTGTCCTCATGACTTCTCTCGTGGACCATGTCCTTGATCCTTTTTGCCTGCGTGGTAAGGGTGAGGGATGGACTGCCCCTCTCGGCCTCCACTGATTTCTACCACAGCCAAGACTTCCTGGAATGCAGGAGACGCCTCAAGACTTTAGCCTCGCGACTGGCCCAGTATCCAGGTCGAGGTTCTGCAGAAGGATGTGACTTCAGCATCCAGTAAGCAAACCTGTTCCCTGTTCCAGAATATCAGCCCAATTTGGGTTACTCTGAACCATGTGCAGAGGTGGCATTATGCTAATCACACCATGTGAAAAGGAGGTCTCATGTCAGACAGCAGTTCATAGTCGTGTGTATCTATCTACAGTAGAATCAAAGGCACTCGAACTTTGCTGCCTCACCTTCACCTCACTGTGAGTGGAGAGGCCATGAGCATTGGGAGCACAAGGTCGCCCAGTCTTCATGGTTTTAGTTTGGTAGTTTTTCTGCCTTAGGGTGCGGGCGTGGAGAAAAGGCAAGTCAGGAGGAAATACTGGATTAAAATGTCAGGACAGGAAAAGGGTGAGAGTCAGGACGCCAAGAAAATAAGGCTAGACTTGGAGTTCTAGCCCTCAGTTTTTGCTTTTTAAATTTTTTTCACCTTTAAAACAAATTTTTAAAGTAAAAAAAAAAAAATTTATGTGACAGGAACAGGGGAGGGAAAAATGAGCATCAGTAGGTCCGTCTTCTCAAGGAACTCCAAGTCAAATGAGAGGACACTGAACGTAATACAGTGAGGCCAGTGCTCCAGTGGAAGCAGGAATCAAGTGGTCACAGTAATCATGGCCATAAGAACTAATATTGTTTTCTGTGATCTAGGCCCTATTCTAAGTGTTGTAGGTGGCTTATGAGGTAGATAATGGTATTAGATCTATTTTACAGGGAAGGAAACTGAGGTTAAACAACTTTTTAACTTAAGGTGGTAGAGCCAGGATTTGAGTGCAGGTAACTAGGAGCCAGGTTCTCCTCGTGTGTCGTTTCTTATTTTAGGGCTTAGAGATGAAAGGTGTCGTATGGAGGGATCGGGGGCAAGGCAGGTTTTGAAATCTCAAAATGGCCTGTTACAGATTTTACATCTGTCTTTTCCAGAATTTAGGTTTTCACTTCCCAAGTCCTTTTTGCTCCCCTTGAATAGTAAATTTTTGATTCACCTGATAAGTTGGGATCCATTACAGTAATCCAGTCTCAGAATCAGGAAAATGAAAGGGAAACTCCAGGCCTGCCTCCAAGCTGGGTGGTGCTGTCAGGCAAGAAGAGTCGTGGCCTGAAGAGGGACCCAGATGGCAGGCATGTGGAGCTGTCACCATTGGCTGGGCTCAGGGTGCTCAGGAGCTAGCACTAAGCTGCATCTGCCCCCATCTGCAGCTCCCTTCTCTGGGTGCCTGAAACCCCCTTCCTTGGGGGTCCCATCCTCTTTAGGCTGGAATAATCTCACATTCTATGCACATTTTGTGCTGTACCTCAAAGAGGAAACCTTTTCTCAGTTAAAAAAAAAAAAAAAGCAAAAACCTGTGACTTCAAATGAAATTCTGGGCAATTCAGTCATTATTTGAAAAGTAGAATATACCGTGTTTACTCGTTTGTCTTTCAACTGAAATGTTCACCATTCTTTTCACAGAGGAAACTTGAGACATTTTTCCTTACAGGTGAGCAGTCCCATAGTTTGTTTAATGATCAATAAATTAAAGTGATTCCTGCAGGAGGGCACGGCAACCCACTCCAGCATTCTTGCCTGGAGAATCCCATGGACAGAGGAGCCTGACAGTCTAGAGTCCAAGGGGTCATAAAGAGTCGGACACGACTGAGCGGCTTAGCACAGACGCAGGCAAGTTACAGCAATCACAGCTTGTCAGCAGCAAATGCTGCTATACATTTTCGAGGAAGTATAAGAAAGGCGCAGTCCCAGACAGGTCCACCTGAAGAGACGATGTGTATGCAACGGACAGCTCCAGGACTGTTCAAGGCCCAGCAAATCCAGAGTGGAGGCAAGGCGGTGGCCGGGTGCAGGATGTGAACAGGCGGGTCTGTTCCCTGGTGACGTAGTCCCTTTCGTTCCAGCTTCTCTTCTGCGAGGGACGTGGCCTGCATGGCTATCTGCTCCCTCCAGTGTCCGGCAGCCATGGCCTTCTGCTTCCTGGAGACCCTGTGGTGGGAATTCACAGCTTCCTATGACACCACCTGCGTTGGCCTCGCCTCCAGGCCATATGCCTTTCTCGAATTTGGTTTGTAACCTACTTTTTTAGTTGTTGTTCTCTCTTGCAGCATCGTATGTGTAGAATTTCCAGTTTGAGTCTGGCTCTGACCATCTGGGAAAACCACTGGAGGTTCAGGGCCATGTCCCTGAAGAATAGCCTCATGCCATGAAATTTCACGGCAATGAAAGGGGCCTGCAAACTTGGAGGCTCAACCCTCTGGCTTTTTACCTCTCCGGAGCCTGGAGCGGGGTGGAAGAGGGTAAACCCTGTATCTTATTCTGGAGCAGGGGGTCAGCAAACTGCGGGCCGAGAGTCTGTTTTTGTAAACACAAAAGTGGAACACAGCCACGCTTGCTCTATTACTAACAGGTTGTCTGTGGCTGCTTTTGCCCTTCCCTGGCAGAGGTGAGCCATTGTGATGGACCACCTGGGGCCTGTAAGCTTAAAACATTGTCAGTGCCAACCCCGGCTGTAGGGCAGCACTGCTTAAGGGTGGTTCATGGACCTGTGCTTCCAGCGTGAGGCACATACAGGGAGTAACAATAAAAGGTTAGAAATTCTTACGGTACTTGGACATTCCTGTGCTATTTTCAGTTGTATTTTATCCAAATATCTGTTTGCAACCATTTGGAAATAAGGAAACACTGGTCCTTCATGCAGAGGTTCCAGCAGCACAGCTCTGGAAGAGAAGACTGCTTTTCTAGGCTCTGCCAGAGAGGCCTGTGGAGGCCCACGGGTCTGGACCACAGCAGTTGTGATAGCATATGCCCTGTTTCTGTCAGGTGTGATTCAGGTCATCGTTGAGGGGGAGAAGCGGAGTGGAGGTGGGAGTTGGGGAGTTCTCCAGTCTCAGTGTAACCTGCCGTGGTCCCGTGATGCTCTTGAACGAGGGGCTGACAGCATTTGGTCCTCAGGGTCAGGTGCAGGGCTGGCACCTGGAAGTGTGGCCACTTAGGCTTTCTGGCAGCTCCTGCTCACACCCCGTCGTGTGGTCTGTGGCCAGCCCATCAGTAATAGGGCCAGCACTGTCTTCTGGTGTCACCCAGGGATGCTGGGAAACTCCCTGGTACTCCAGCCTCCCCCTGGTAGGCCTGTGACACGGATTGCAAGTTCCTCTGAGTCTCCCTGTGAGGACGGCCACTCTCAGCCCCACTTCTGTGTCCCCAGGTAGACCACAGCTGCAGCATCCCTTGGCTGTCCTTTGACTGGCAGCTGGTAGACCTGTGTTCTCTTCTCCCCCCTCGTCTCTGCATGCATCGTCCTTCCAAAGTGGTGGGCTTTGTCTCACAGGAGCCCCTTCCTGGCATCACGTTTGCTCATTATTGAGTGAGAGTAGGATGAAAGTAAAAGCACATGGGTATTAGGAGCTTCCCGGGTGGCACAGTGGTAAAGAATCCACCTGCCAATGCAGGAGATGCGAGAGACCTAGGTTCAATCCCTGAGTCGAGAAGATCCCCTGGAGGCAATACACTCCAGTATTCTTGCCTGGACAATTCCATGGACAGAGGAGCCTGGCAGGCTATATAGTCCATGGGGTCACAAACAGATACAACTGAGTGCATGCACACACACACACCACACACGGATATTAGAATTATACATGATTTTGTTTTGTCAATATATTTGAAACTTCACCTCAAGTACTTATTAAAAGTTGGTAATGGATTAATACTAACTATAAATAAAATAATTAAAACCAATACCTTTCATATAATGCTGGTTTGCACAACATATTCACATTCATTTGTAGTTTTTTTTCACACGCCTTTCTTGAGATAATCAGGTCAAGAATGACTGTCCCCATTTTGCAATCTTAGAAATCCTTTGTGAATGGCCCAGGTTTGTACTATGAGTTGTGCCTGAGCTAAGACTCAAGCCTCTCCCCCTGATTCGCTTGCCACTGAGGTCCTGATGGACAGACTGTCACATTTTAATTATTCTCCTTTGAGAGATTGATGAGACCAGTCCTGATATCTACAAATCATTTGACCCTCATGTGTAGCTGACACTCTTCAGAGTCTGGCTGACTTATTAACTTGCTTAGAAATGCAAATTTCATTGTGTACCTGTTGTCTTATAACATCCATTGTGATGACATTCAGTTTGGACTGCTCTCTTTTCACAGACAATGTCATTCAGAAAGTGAAGTGGCATTTTAACTATGTAAGTTCCACCCAGATGGACAGCAGCTTAGGAAAAATTCAGGAGGAACTCAAGTTCCAGCCACCAGTGGTTCTCACCCTAGAAGACACAGATGTGGCCAATGGGGTGATGAACGGACACACACTGATGCACCTGGAGCCAGGTAGGTGGCCTGCTCCTCTCTGGTATTGATGAAAATGAGGTGAGAGTGTATATTTCAAATGGACATTGATTGTTCGACTAGGAAGGTGTTTAGGTGGGGAGTGGTATATAAAATGTGTGGGGGAAAAAACATGGGCTGATCTTGTTTCCAGGTGGCTTTTATTAAAAAAAAAAAAACAAGCTATGACAAACCTAGACCAGCATATTAAAAAGCAGAGACATTACTTTACTGACAAAGTATGATCTCTCACATCCATATAAAGCTATGGTTTTTCCAGTGGTCATGTATGGATGTGAGAGATCATACTTATGACGTGAGAGGACCATAAAGCTGAGTGCCAAAGAATTGATGCTTTTGAACTGTGGTGTTAGAGAAGACTCTTGAGAGTCCATTGGACAGCAAGGAGATCAAGCCAGTCCATCCTTAAGGAAATAGTCCTGAATATTCATCGGAAGGACTGATGCTGAAGCTGAAGCTCCAATACTTTGGCCACCTGATGTGAAGAGCTGACTCATTGGAAAAGACCCTGATGCTGGGAAAGATTGAAGGCAGGAGGAGAAGGGGACGACAGAGGATGAGATGGTTGGATGGCATCACTGACTCAATGGACATGAGTTGGTGGACATGAGCAAACTCCAGGAGTTGGTGATGGACAAGGAAGCCTGGTGTAGTCCATGGGGCCACAAAGAGTCAGACAGACTGTGCAACTGAACTGAACTGAAGGAGATTTTCATTCTCTTTGGCTGGAAGTCACCCTTGTTGAATAGTACAGATTTGTACATTCTCTCTCTCTCCTTTTTGCCTCTAACAGTGAGTTCTTATCTCATCACTGCAATGGTGAAACAATGCAAATCTCCAGCAAGAAACCCCCACTTCTTGATGGAAGGAGTGGAGGGCTGTGGGGATGAGAGTGGGCAGGGGTCAGGGCCAGGGCTTCCAGACCTCTCACTCTCGGGTTCTCTGTGGGACCCAGAGACATCTCTCTATCCCTTTGGATTTCTGAGTCCCTGTCTGAGGAATGAAGTGTTGATGAACATATTCACAGTGCCCTGGCATCTGTGACTTAGTCTGCCACTAACAACATGAAGCGTTCAATACCTAGCACATAGCAAAGCATGCTTTTTTGTGTTATTTGTTTACAGTTATATCCAATTAAACCAACTTTTAGTTGAAGTGGATATTTGTATTCTAAGAACTTTGTAATAGTATAATCTTTCCCTGGAAGACAGAACCATCTATACTATAACAGTCTAATTACTTTGTTAACAGTTTTATGCTAAACTCATTGCTTGCATTTTGAAAGTGGTATATTTAAAATGTTCACATTTTTTTTCGCTTAACTTTGGTTTTCAATTTGAACATTTCAACCAGTGAATTCCTGGATTGACTCTTATGCCATTCAGTAAGTTGTTGTAATTTACATTGGGATTGGACTTAACATTCATGGGAGGAAGACTAGGGCATCAGACCCCAAGCTTCTCCTTTGCTGTACCTGACGACGGGTCACTTTGTGATGTATGTTTTGTTTTTTAACCACGTAGACAAGAGGAACAAATGCAGAAGGTGACAACTTGCCTATCTTTCTAAGACTCCCCCCTATTGTCCCAAGTCTAGAGTCTTAACAGGTAGCTCTGTTCTGAGAGGAACTTTGATAGTGTAAACTAACACACTAACAGTAGGCATCAGTTGGGCTGTGGTGTGTGTATGTGTGTGTACGCATATGCGGGAAATATGAGGACAAAAAAGGATGATTTAAAAGGAGTACACCAAGGACTTCCCTGGTGGTCCAGTGGCTAAGGCTCCACAGTTCCAATGCTGGGGACGGGGGGCTCACCCCTAGTCAGGGAATAGGATCCCACATGCCAAGTGGCACAATGAAAATATAAAATAAATTAATAAAAGGAGCACAGCAAGAGAATGGGTGGACCCCGCTTAATTGTGTGAACCAGAATCAGTTTCAGCAGTTATCTTTAAAGAGGGAATGATCATTTTGTCTTCATTAGAGTTCTGGAAATAGCTTGTAGCTGAAATAATACATGTTTCCCTCCTCTTCCCAATAACTTTGGAATTTAAAAAATTTGCATTTTGAAAGTGGTATATTTAAAATGTTCACATTTTTTTTCGCTTAACTTTGGTTTTCAATTTGAACATTTCAACCAGTGAATTCCTGGATTGACTCTTATGCCATTCAGTAAGTTGTTGTAATTTACATTGGGATTGGACTTAACATTCATGGGAGGAAGACTAGGGCATCAGACCCCAAGCTTCTCCTTTGCTGTACCTGACGACGGGTCACTTTGTGATGTATGTTTTGTTTTTTAACCACGTAGACAAGAGGAACAAATGCAGAAGGTGACAACTTGCCTATCTTTCTAAGACTCCCCCCTATTGTCCCAAGTCTAGAGTCTTAACAGGTAGCTCTGTTCTGAGAGGAACTTTGATAGTGTAAACTAACACACTAACAGTAGGCATCAGTTGGGCTGTGGTGTGTGTATGTGTGTGTACGCATATGCGGGAAATATGAGGACAAAAAAGGATGATTTAAAAGGAGTACACCAAGGACTTCCCTGGTGGTCCAGTGGCTAAGGCTCCACAGTTCCAATGCTGGGGACGGGGGGCTCACCCCTAGTCAGGGAATAGGATCCCACAGGCCAAGTGGCACAATGAAAATATAAAATAAATTAATAAAAGGAGCACAGCAAGAGAATGGGTGGACCCCGCTTAATTGTGTGAACCAGAATCAGTTTCAGCAGTTATCTTTAAAGAGGGAATGATCATTTTGTCTTCATTAGAGTTCTGGAAATAGCTTGTAGCTGAAATAATACATGTTTCCCTCCTCTTCCCAATAACTTTGGAATTTAAAAAATCGCATTTGCTATGATTTGTTCTAGAAACACACGTGACATTGAATATTGTCCCTATCAGAAAAAGAATGGAACATTTTACATGCTGATGGTTGAGGTGTGTAATAGAAAAGTTATAGGGTTTGACAACCAATTTACAACTAAAGCCATAAATTGTTTTAAATCGGGATTTCTCAACTTAAGCCCTACTGACATTTTGTACTGGAAATTCTTTGTTATGGAGACTGTCCTGTGCATTGTAGCAATCTGTTCCCAGGGAGGACAACCCAAAATGTCCCTAGACATTGATTGAAGAGCCTTATCATCTCTGGCTGAGAACCACTGGTGTAAATAGAAAGGAAATGAAGCACTTAAGAAAATCTATGCTTGCTTAGAGAAGGGCCTCTTATCTCAAAGACATTCACCTTGGATTCCCAGGTCCTTTCTGTCCTTCATCCCTTGCCTTTTCCCACTCTAACTACAGCTGCTTTTTAAATTAATGTGTTTGCAATTGTGTGTTCAATGTAACTTTTTCATTAGCAGAGGTCTAGTTAATGTTTTTACTTTTTTTTTCATATAGAAATTATTTTCACTTAACGCTTCCTTTTTTCCTTGTGAAGCTCCTAATTTCCGAATGGAACCAGTGACAGCCCTGGGCGTCCTCTCCCTTATTCTTAACATCATGTGCGCTGCCCTGAACCTCATTCGTGGAATTCACCTCGCAGAACATTCTTTACAGGTAACCTTTTCTATCCAGTTTAAATCGAAAGACACACGATGGAAGAAACAGATATGGGTTCATATTGTTTATAAGGTTATTACTCCCTACGTTTTAAAAATTAAAGTAAAATTCTTACTTCTTGTTTTATCCTTCGTAGTGAGTTAAGCAAATAAGAAACTTGCTCTTTTGTATTTGTTTTCCTGAGAAGTCAGAGGGGCTGCCAAAATACTGGTGAGAAATGGACAACTTGCTACAAGGACATCAGGCCACCCCGTGGCCCTGGGGACACCGAGAGTCACTGCAGGGGCTGGATTGTTGATCCAAGGCAAAGTTTGACTCTCAGACTTTAAGATTCAGGCCCTTTTTCCCTTGGTAGAGTTGTCTCATAATCTGATTTATATCATTCAGATAGATACCAGCCTCCCTGTGTCTTTGTCAAAAGAACTGTATCACTATGAAGTTGATTTGCCAGCCTGCTCATCTCAAAGCAGCTTTCTCTTCTAATGCTTTTTACTTATTATTTTTAAATTTTGAAGTATTTCAAGCACTTAAAAACAAGCATGGAACCATTATGAACATGAACAGATAGATGTTAACTTTAAAAACAGTTTGGGATAAGTAGATGCTGCTGCTGCTAAGTCGCTTCAGTAGTGTCCGACTCTGTGTGACCCCATAGACGGCAGCCCACCAGGCTCCCCTGTCCCTGGGATTCTCCAGGCAAGAATACTGGAGTGGGTTGCCATTTCCTTCTCCAATGCATGAAAGTGAAAAGTGAAAGTGAAGTCGCTCAGTCGTGTCTGACTCCTAGCGACCCCATGGACTGCAGTCTACCAGGCTCCTCTGTCCATGGGATTTTCCAGGCAAGAGTACTGGAGTGGGGTGCCATTGCCTTCTCCAAGTAAATGCAAACTATTACATTTAGAATGGATAAACAAGATCCTACCGTATAGCACAGGGAACTGTATCCAATCTCCTGAGATAAGCCATAAAGGAAATGAATATAAAAAAGAATGTGTGTGTGTGTATAACTGAGTCACTTTGCAGTATAGCAGAAATTAACACAATACTGTAAATCAACTATCCTTCAGTTAAAAACAAAGCCAGCGTCATGATGCTCACACCCAAGCATGTGGTTGCTAAAATCTGAAGTGCAGTTGAGGTTCAATCTCAGGGTGCTTACAGAGACCAAGGTGTTTGGGGAATGGCAGCAGGCCTGGGTCCTGAGTGGTGGCTGGCTGTTTCCACACCCCACTTTTGGCCAACAAGTGGTATGGTTCCCACTCTTATTGTTTATGATGACTCATAAGCAGATACTTAGCAAATGTCTATATGCACTAGAACAGGTGTTCGTTGCTCAAGACATAGTCCCTGCCTCAGGGCACATAGCAGAGTATGGTGACATCACTCAGGAGGTGGCAGTACCTGGGGTGGGAGGAACTGGGGACAGTTAGTACTGACAGGTGAGTTGGATTTTGAGAGGTGGCCGGGCTGGGGGTGGGGACATTGCAGGTTGCGGGCTCAGCACACATGCATGGGAACGGGACGTGCTTGGTGTATCCAGGCCATTCAGACAGATTTTATGTCACCTCCTGGTCTGATACGTGAGCAGGGGCTTGTTTCTCACCCAGGCAGGGATTTTGTACTGTCAGTTATACCAGACCCAATGCACAGTAATGCACTTCATGTCATAGTGTTTCATTCCCTCTAAATATTCCTTTTCTTGTGTTCCTCATATTTGTCCTAGGTTGCACATGAAGAAATTGGAAATATTCTGGCTTTTCTTATTCCTTTTGTAGCCTGCATTTTCCAGGTGGGTGAAATGTTGATGTTTTAGTGAGTGGGTTAAACCCATTACCTTATTTTGCTCTGTTGGAACCACCAGTGAGTTTCCAGATCCTGCTTTTGTTCTACCAAGACATTGGTTCAAATCACGGACAGTACCAGCCCTTAGCAGGACAACTTTCCACCCATCCTGTCCAGTCCTCTCATTTTACAGAGAAAAGACTTTGGGGCCCAGAAAGGGAAAGTCATTTGCCCTACGTCTCAGGGCCTTTTGACAGTGCAGGAACTAGAAACTAGAAACTGGGGCTGGGCTCCCAAGAAGTGAGGGCTGAGATTGCAGTGGGGATTGGGTTGGGCCTGACCAGTGTGAGGCAGAGCCTTGCCCTGTGCTCATTGCTGGGCATCCAAGTACAGAAATGTCCTTCTGCAGAACTGATGCCTATGTATGTGGTTTTTTTTTTCAGACACGGGACTGGGAAAAAATTTGTTGTTTCTAATAGAGATACCATCTGAATCAAATCTGTCCTTAGGAAATGAAACAAAAGTTATAATACTAACTAGAGAACTTTGATTATTAGTTATTTTCAGATAAGCTGTGTACTTAAGGACTAGAGTAGGAAGGAGCTTTTGAATCCCCTATGAAAAGGTAGTAGTGAAAGTGTTAGTTGCTCAGTTGTGTCTGACTCTGTCACCCCATGGATTGTAGCCCACTAGGCTCCTCTGTCAATGGAATTCTCCAGGCAAGGGTACTGGAGTGGGTAGCCAGTCCCTTCTACGGGGGATCTTCTCGACCCAGGGATTGAACCTGGGTCTCCTGCATTGCAGACAGATTCTTTACCGTCTGAGTCACCAGGCAAGACTTGAATCCCCTTTAAGCAGAGTTAATTCTAACAAAAAACCTGACTCTCTTTCCCCACCTTCTACAAAGTCTAGGATTTTAGTACCTTTTCTGTATATTTAAGCCTCTTCTTCTTTTAATTAAAAAGTTCTTTTCTCAGGGCACTTCTTCTCTCTTCTGCGTACATCCTAGATGGCCTATTTTTAACAATTATCTGATTGTGCAAAAAGAAAATTTCAACCTAATACTGAAAATACACTCATTCTTTGGAAAATCAAGTCTCCAAGATCATGGGTGTTGCTGAGAGTAGTTTCCTGGACCTTGCATTTCAGGGCTGCAGGGATCTTACAGTTCCACCTTCATCCCCTCATCTGTGGTCTTACTTGATCAGCTCTTTCCATGGGGAACTCTCCCTCCCACTTCACTGTGAGCTTTTGTCAGATTGCCCTGTGTTTTCAGAATGTGCCATTTTGGTTTTTTTTTTTTAAACATTCAAACAAAAAATGATTTCCACCTTTTGCAGAACAAGAATGTCCTCTTTCTGTGTGATAGCCCTACAGGAAGCATCATTCTGGGAGACCTTTCCCTGAGTCAGAGATGCTTCTGAAGATGTAATAGGGAGGCTGTCTAGGGAACAGTGGTACCCTATATAGTTGTAACTCAGGAAAAACTAAAATAGTAAAAGCACAGCTTCTCTCACCAACTTTGTCACCTGTTATGACTCCCCCAGAGGAGAAGTTCCTTTGGAGGCCAGTTGCTCTTGTTAGTGTATCCCCACCTGGCTGTCTGCCCCTGACCCACATCTCTTCTGTCTCTGTAGCACAGCCTGGACATGTCTGTCTGTATTTCTTAACTTCTTTCAAGAGGGCTGTGTTCTCATTCCTCCTGTGACCTTCTGTTTAACTTTTCTTATCTCTTCCAAATCCCCACTTTCATCCACTGATTGACAATAACTGATCCAGTGAGTCCAAGCTCCACTGTAACAACTTTCAGTTTAATGAGCCAACGCTTATGAAACGACTCTGCAGGGCGGGTCTTGTAAGTGGACCTGGCCCCTGGCCTTGGCCATCTTGTTATCGCTGACGGGCCTCCCTCTTCTGGTATCATTTCAGTGTTACCTGTACCTGTTCTACAGTCCAGCCAGGACTACGAAGGTGGTGCTGATGCTGCTCTTCATTTGCCTGGGCAACGTGTACCTGCATGGGCTGAGGAACCTCTGGCAAATCCTCTTCCACATAGGAGTGGCTTTCCTGTCTTCGCATCAGATACTGACAAGGCAGCTTCAGGACAAGCAGTCTGACTGCGGAGTGTGAGGATGAGGCCATGGGATGGATGGATCCTTTGATTTTCCTCTGAGGGTCATCGGCGTTTCCCCTTTTACTTCTTGACTTCACCTCAAGTTTCCATCCTCGAAGTTCCTTTCAACCAAAGCAGACTGATCCTGAGAACCAAGATTTTTTTTCACCGGTGCAGTGGGAAGCATGAAGTTGCTGGACATCTGGTCTCAGTTTTGTGTGAGTTACTGCCGAATCTCCACTTCAGCACTTTGGACAGCAGAATCTGGGCGCCCCGTCAGAAAGCACATTACTGGAAGACCAACATGGAATGATTTTGGTCTTTTACGTTGAGTGATGCAATAAACCACTAGATTCAGTATCAGTAGTTTTAAGTAATTGGCAGTTGTCTCCAAGGAACCACTTAAACATCTGTATCAGCTTTTCAGTCTAAATGTGACTTTGGTGAGTTTTTTTTTTTTAAGAGGGTCAGCACAGGGTGAATTAACTTAAAAAGTGGTTTATAGGTATAGCATAGATACGTTTTGTTTACATTTTTGATAACTTAGGTCTGATATGATACCTTTAGAATATTTAAATATATTTTGGATATAAATTGAACTTCACTTAGGGTAAGAACAAACTGAAGCTGAGATAATGGTTGAGAAAACTGAATTTATTTAATTTATATATAACCTTTCATGGTAGTGGGACTGTAGGGATACAGAAATATTTTGTATTTATTTGCAGGTTATATCTGAATATTTTTTAAATTGAGTAACCAGTGCTACTGGATCATAAGCTTATAAGCATGAGCAGAAGTGAGATTATCAGGACTCCTTGCAGTTGGCCACAAACTAGAGTAGGTGGGTCACACATTCACACAGTGGCACTTTGAAGTTACAGGTGGGAGAGGGTGCTGTCATCAACTTTGTATGTGGCAGCCAGGTGCCAGGCATTTTAATCATGTCATTTAATACTTGACCCTGAGTACTTGTTCTCAGAAGACCTCACAAATTAATTACTCCACTACACCTTTCCTAATCGTCTTAATTAGATTCAGTTCAGTTCAGTTGCTCAGTCGTGTCCAACTCTTTGTGACCCCATGGACTGCAGCACGCCAGGCTTCCCTGTCTGTCACCAACTCCCTCATTTTTGTATGAACAAAGGTCATGTGTATGTTAACTTTTTTAGAGCTTTATAGCTTATAAAGCTTTATAATTAACCCTGTGCTCAGTCCCTGGGTTGGGAAGATCCCCTGGAGAAGGAAATGGCAACCCACTCTAGTATTCTTGCCTGGAGAATCCCCATGGACAGAGGAGCCTGGTGGGCTATAGTCCATGGGGTCGCAAAGAGTTGGACATGACTGAAGCAACTCAGCACACACGCAGGTGCTCTGAAAAGTTACTTTTTTTTCTCTCATTGTCAACATTTTGACTGATCATAGTTTTCCAAAATTTAGATCTGAATATGATCCCTGAGGCCTCTAGAAACTTCAGCCTGTGTTGTCCAGTACTGCTCAGGAGGACATTTGGGAAGTTTGGCCTTTGGATTGTTCTTTGTAGAAGTCTGGAATATGAATAGCTCCACCATATTGCATAGAATACTCTGGGTTGAATTGTGTGATATTGATAAGTTGCAGATTCCTATTTTGGTAGTTTTTAAGAGTTGAAAACTATCACAAGAGCTAGCGAGCAGGAAAGCAAGGATGTCATTTTAGGGAATTCAGTTGACCTTGGTCATTTCATTACTGGTCATTCATTGTTACTAAGCTACCTTAGTGTCACTTAAAAGAAGAGTTCATGTGACTAGGAACTGTGGTGGGAAAATGTTGCCATGGTAACTTTATTTTCTTATAATAGAATTTCCTATTTTTAATCAAAGTATTTGGACGTGAAAGTTACATTGGCAACATCCTCAGATGTTAAACCTCAGAGTCATCTCCCCAGTGATTTCTCAATCTGCATAATTTTCTGCGGGGGCTTCCCTGGTGGCTCAGATGGTAAGAGAATCTGCCTGCAATGCAGGAGATGTGGGTTAGATTCCTGGTTTGGGAAGATCCCCTGGAGAAGGGAATGGCAATTCACTGCAGTATTCTTGCCTGGAGAATCCCATGATAGAGGAGCCTAGAGGGCTACAGTCCGTGGGGTTGCAAAGAATCAGACACAACTAAGAGACTAACACTTTAATTTTCTGCATCCCTAGCAGATAAATTTTCAAGCTTTCTGGGACACAACTTTGAAGAGATGGTGAAATAGAATGGGAAGCTAAGGAGGAGAAACAATCTTTTCATATTAGCAGCACACACAAAGCTTTAAAAGTTGATTAGAACAGCTTACCAATATATTGTTTTCATCTTGAGCTCGTGTGCTATTGGTGTTGCCATGTAGCCTGGTACCCAGATGCCCTGGGGGTCTGTGATCCACATTCAGCAAGTGGTGAAGGACAGTCCTTGCAGAGGAGACCCTCCTGGCCTAATGGAGAGGTGATTCACAAGCTGGTCCAAGTGGTCTGAATCTTTGAACACCTACATGGGGTTTGAGATTTACTTTCACAAACCAAAGGGAAAAGACGCAGTCGGCAAACAGTACAGAGTAATGACCACATAAACATTATGTAACTGAAATCCAGCTAAGAGCAGCCTCAGTCTAACTGGAGGAAGAGGCTGATGATAGGAAAGGCGTTCTGGAGATTTTATCCAAGGGAAATTGCAGGCTTGAGGTTGACTTGGGTCAGGCGTAGAGTTTATTAGCCCTGTGTCATCCTTGGTGCCTCATCCTTGCCCTCACTCCGCCATGGGCCTTTGTTTTAGCTGCTGTAGCACCTTTGTCTGCTCAGTCGTTAACTGATCTCACGGGGCCACTAATGTTGGAAAACCCTTAAAAGTGCCTTCTGGTGTCAGATGTGGCAAGATCTTGAGCATCAGTGTGTGCAGTGTCCTGTCTGCTGTCTCTGGGTGGGGGTGTGGCTCCGTGCTCTCCAGGGGCTGAGCCCAAGGCTTCCCCACCGGCAGGTGTGCTAGTGAGGGAAACGCGTAGGCTGTGCTTTTCTTTCCCCAGGCCGGCTTGACTGTGACAGGGCCGTGCTCGGGTTTCCTGTCCTGGGCAGGGACACTTGGAGGTATATTTGGGTGGGATTTCCTCTCGGTACTAGAGGCCTCACTGCCCGCAGTGGGAGGATGACCACAGGCTCCCAGTTTTGCTTCTGCAGCTGGCACTCCTTTTATCTGTGAGTCAGTTTTAAAGTTCTTCAAAGGGTAAGAAAAAGGATATTGGAAGGAAATGAGAACATTTAGCATCCTTCCTACCACCCCCACCTTGAGTTCCCTGTTCTTTCCCTAGGAGCCCCCATTCAGGTCTCCCCTGCCTCTTTCCACTTCTGCCTCCTACATTCCAGTCCTAGAGCAGAGGCTGAAAGTAGAGGCTCTGGAGGGAGGGGGATGCCACCTTTCACTGTAATCGATAGGGAGGGTCCAGGAGCTTCAGAGAGGGAGCAGATGACACAGGCCCAGCTCTCTCCTCTGTGCACCCCAGGCGCACAGCAAGGCTGGCTGTTTGGGGTACAGGAAGCAGGGGACAGGCGAAAAGTGGAGCTGGGACCTGGCTGGTTGCTGGAAGCCAGCAGCTGTCCCCTTGGCATATGGGGGTTGCATGCTATACCTTCAACCAGGGCTGCTGTTCACTGTTCTTTGATGGAATCAGCCACTCGTCACACCAGGATGGGTGACCCTCAGAGAACAGCACAGTGCACGTGAGGACTGGCCACAAGGGAGGGTTTAATGGAGGCCAGGTGAGCACACAGACACCTGCCCTGATGTTGCTCACATTCCAGGCGATTCTACACAGAATCCCAGCCAAGTACGAGGAAGCCTTACCTGTGCGCCCTGAGCATTAATAAAGGTGGAAAAAAGGAGAGTCGATGTGCCCTGGAGAGGTAACGCAGGATGGAGCACCCTGTCAGCTGGCCCAGGCCTGGAGGTCGGCATGGTTATTCCACTTGGTCCCGCTCCACGGTGGGCGAGTTGTGGCCCATGGGCTGGGGTCCTCTGGGAAATGGTGGTAATATCAGCCTGCTCCCCAGCGAGTGTCGGCAGGGAAAAAGCAGTCATGGAGGGGATGCTAGGTGAATCCATTGTTCATGTGCAGGAGGAGAAAGGCTTTGCATTTGGTGCATGCTTCAGGCAGTGCAGGTCAGCATAGCCATGTCTTCCGACCTTTACAAAAAAACACCTCATGCTTTCACTCCAGAAAGGCGGTGGCCTCTTTTTCTCCCCCTGGACCTGCCTCCTGCCTTCCAGGCACAGTACCTTTAGTACCAGTGTTGTTTGGTCCTCCAGGATCCAGGAAGGCCAGACCTGCTGGTTAGACCGAATCTCATGGCCTGTATCTGACCCAGGTGAGGAGAGCTCTGGTTCTGCCCTCTGGGAGCAGTAATGTCAAACTTGTGTTGCTGGGGAAACATGATTGGTAGAGAACCTGTGAAGAAAGACTTGTCAGTAAAATCTGGGAATGGAAGGCTATAGGAACATCTATCTGCCTGTATGTACTGATGGCAAGGCTGTTGCCCGCAAGCACCTTTATGTAGTGTAAAACGATCAAATCCATCCTGCTCCTTTACCCTGTGCTGGGTACATATGACCTTCTTTAACCCTTACACTTAAGTGATTCTGGGTTGTTCTACAAGTATTATCCAATGAGTCATTCATACGACGTGGCTCCCAGGATTCCATTTTGTTTCATGGAGATTTCTACTAAGGGCATTAAAGATTGAGGCTTGTTTAGCCAGGCAAAACCATTTATTTCACATATTAATTTTGAATGCTTGCTACCCTTGTTATACGAGCTTCTTACTGTTTTCATGTAATAACGAAGATATATTTTGAGTAAATGATGAGTGCGTTTTAACAAACTTTCACATAGTCATAAAGTCTAAACTTGTGTTTATATAGGTAAAGAATGTTGTATAACTGTTTATATACTATGTATGTGTATATATATATATATATATATACACACACATATATATGTGTGTATATATATATATATAATAAACGAGGTGGCTCCGGAAGTGGGAAGAGAATAAATCCAAGGTGCTCATTAACTTGTGAGTTTGTGTGAAAAATTCTGAGTTGTGGGCCTGTTTCCCTAGAGGGGGTGATGTGGGCCTGGCATAAGGGAGGGGGTTGTGTTGATAGAAATGAAATTCAAGTCCTCTTGCCCGGTGAGGTCTAGACAGGTGCACAGTCTCAAATAGTCTTCAGCACTAATCCCTAGAGTCTGGAATGCAATCATGGGTCCAGGAAAAACCTTGGGAAAACCAAAATAGCAATTGTGGCCCTGCCCTGGGGGCTGGGAGGGCTGCCTTCTATGCAGCCTCTGCT